AAATAAGGCTCAGATCTGCTTAAATCTTGAGGATCTGACTGTACAGCAAGAGCCTCAGGAGACCAGGATGGAGGATGGAAAGGCTCATAGATAACTTCTCCTCCCCTGGGAGGGCTTGGTTGGGGCCCACGAGTATCACCTGAAACATGCTGTAGTTGCACTCCCTTTTGCTGAATAATTCTGTTGAACTGCCTCTCTAGGGACGCATGTCTGTGCTTCTCTGCCCTCAATTCAGCCTGAGCTGCCTTCTTAGGGGCTAGAGCCTTAGCTTTGATTTTAGCAGCCACCTCCCTCTGGACTGATTGGGTGCGTTGTCTACATTTTTCTCTTATTGGGCTTAAGAGACTGTTCCACTGGAGGGGAAAGCTCTGCCTGAGCATTATCTTGCTCCATTTGTAGAATAAAAGCTCTTGCATTGGAAAGAAATTGTTTAGAAATTTTTCTATCAAGCCCCTTAGGGTATAAATGGCCCCCGGGCTTACAAAATGGCCGCTCACCTCATGGTGGAAGGCTTGAATCCAAGATGGCCACTGACTAGAGGAAATAGGCTCCAAGATCAAAGAATCGCTCCTTAGGCTATACAGAGCCTCGAGCGAAGTCAGCAAGGGAAAAACACAGCAACCAGCCACGGGATCAGCTGGCTGGCGCTGTTATCTGTTTGCCGATTGTTTTTTACGACTGCTCAAACCACAGGCGTGGGGGAGGTCTGCAGTCGCTGCCCAGCTTGCCTGCACAGAGCTCTGTAATGCTTCTCCCAACGTTGCAGGAGAGAGAGTCCTGTTCTCCTGGAAGAACAGCTGCCCAGATCCCTGGGAGCTGCTTGAAGCAAGGAAAAAAAGTACTGAAGATCGCTGGTGATTGCTATCTAACAGAACGCTTTCAGAGACACAGCTACTGACTGAAAGGAGCTAAGTCAAAAGCTGGGGTCTCTCCCGGGGGCTGGCTTTTATATCTTAGTACAGACTCAGCTAAATGATGTCATAGGAAGGAGTCAACCCATCCTGGGCTCTCAATGCAGCATGGAGGAGAATTAATTCCATTTTGAAAGCAAGAAACTCTTTTGGTCTATACTTCATATTTTTTCTTGGCATCACAGATGAGGATGAAGTACTTTAGTCATTTAGTATTTGTAAACTGTAATCGTTCTGACCCAAATTCATTGTGTTATTTTTCCATGTTACTCTAGGATTTTTAATCCATTGTGTTATGCTAAGCATTAATTGTTCAATTCCTTTTAATAGCAGTACTTCTGGCCTATTTAAAGCATAACATTTTCTGCTTAGTCATGCCTAATCTGAGGCTATCCCAATGATCCCAGAAACATTCCACTTTTTAAAAAGTGAGCACAATTGAAAATCACAACTTTTTGGCAAAAAGCAGTCCCACAGCTCCAGCACAGTACAAAGTCCAGCTCCAGCTTGGCTCACAAGTGAAGCACAAAGCTGCAGCTGATCCAGCCCAGTCCCAGTTGTAGTTGCCCTCACCAACTTTCACTCCCAGGCCGCTACCGCTCTTAGCTCTGCTGCCCTCTGAGCTCCCTGCTACCTGAGCTGCCTTTATTGTCTTCTTGCTTTCAACTGCTCATGAGGCATGCTTACTTTGGCCCTTCATGAGGCAGCTGCTGGCCACGTGAGGGTATCTTTTCTAGGACTCCAAAGACATCTTTTTAAAATAAACAACCATATAAACAACTAGCTGCAATCTTCCCCAAGTGAAAGACAAAAAGGATGCTCATGTTACGGTGACAACTGAGAAACTTGAGAGTGCCGTAAGACTCTGAAATAACATTTTCAATTCAAGAAGCTGAGCAAAATAGACTATGCCCAAAGGGTAGCGGAATACACCTAAATAGACAATTCCTGTAGCTCTGCAGATGACAGTGGGGTGATGGATGACAGTGCCCCATAGAAGTAGCATATTCCATGCATTCAGGAAATGAGATAGTAACAATGCATCCTGAAGACCAAGTTACCTAATAATATAGAGACATATCCAGCATCTCACAGATCACACCAATGATCTCAAGGAAAAGGATCACACAAACACAATCTAATTAGGAAACTACTGAAAATAACTTGTGACATCTGGATTTATGAAATTACATGATAATTTAGATGGCAGAAATTAGATAGTTTCTTTAAAATTATTGAAGGCATGAAACTACCTCCCACTCCCAACACATCAAATTCAGCCTCTAGATAAAATAGCAGTGGCATAATATCTACCAGTGAAGAAAAGTTTGAGGCAGCATTTGGAAAGTCATTGTACTTCAACTGGAAAAGATTGGAGACTTGCTGCAATACACTTATACTGCAAGAATCTGGTCTCATGAAGAGACTAAGAACATTTCCAGAAATAACAGGAATGCTTTCTTCAACCTAAGGGTCTCAAATCATACTTAAACTGATCAAGTCTGAGGAAGTGTACTTGCTGTACACGTCCTTGCTGTTATGAGCTCTGCCATTTGTGTTCTGAGCCCATGTCCCTTCTGGTCAGTGCTGCTGTTAATCAGTGCTACTTTTAGAAAAAGTGATTTCTTCCCTATTCGGGCCAGATCTGATTCAATGTTCTTATTTGATTTCTTTCTTTGGAAGGAGGAAATGATGAGATTGATCAAAGAACATGGAAGGTCTTCCTTTGTTTCAAAGGATAACTCAAATGCAACTAAGGCTGCTACAGTTCGTTAATTAATCAGAAACAGGATGGGAGAGGAGTTTTCAAGCAAATTGCCCCTTGTTCTTATTTTTTATTTATTTATTTGATTTTGTTAAGCTATTATAAGATAACAGGTATAAGTATAAACATAGTTATGAATACATGAAATGGATACATATAAGAAGAATAAAAGAAACAATAGGACAGGGATGGTAGACACGATTGGTGCGCTTATGCACGCCCCCTATAGACCTCTTAGGAAAGGGGTGAGGTCAATAGTAGACAGTCTAAGGTTAAAGTTTTTGGGGTTTGAGGAAGAAACCACAGAGTCAGGTAGAGTATTCCAGACATTGACCACTCTGTTGCTGAAGTCGTCTTTCTGCAATCAAGTTTGGTGCGTTTACCTTGAGTTTGTATCTATTGTGTGCTCTTGTACTGTTATGGTTGAAGCTGAAGTATTCATTGACAGGTAGGACATTGCCATATATAATTTTATATACTCTACCTAGATTGGACCGAAGGCGGCGTAGTTCTAGGTTTTCTAGGTCTAGAATTTCAAGTCTGGTGGCATAAGGTATTCTGCAACGAGTAGAGGAGAACTCTTTTTGTGAAATATTTCTGGACTTTCTCAACTGTATTAATATCAGATACGTAATGTGGGTTCCAGACTGATGAGCTGTATTCAAATATTGGTCTAGCAAATGTTTTGTATGCTCCAGTTAGTAGTGTGATATTACCGAAGAATTTATTCCCTTGTGAGTTATGATTTCGTCCCTCTTTCTGATGTTAAAAGGTTTATAAAGTCTTATTTTTAGCTATAAAGACAGATTTTATAATTTTACAGATTTTATCTTTTAAAGACAGATTTTATAATTTGGTGTTTAGATCTTTTGCATTTTGTACTAATAAACTGTACAGCAACTTAACTTTCCAATTTAAACTTAAGGGCTATATATAATCAAATACATCTTTTGACAGTTTCTTAATAATTCATAATCACCATCTGGCTGGTACTTCCATCATCTACAGGTAGTCCTTAATTTACAACCACAATTGAGCCCAACATTTTTGTTGTTAAGTGAGACAGTTACATGAATTTTCCCCATTTTGTGACCTTCCTTGCCACAAGTGTTAAGCGAATCACTGCAATTGTTAGTAAAAGTTGTTAAGTGAACCTGGTTTCTCCATTGTCTTTGTCAGGTCACAAAAGGTAATCACACCCAGGACACTCCAACCATCATAAATATGAGTCAGTTGCCATGCATGTTAATTTTGATTATGGGGATTCTGCAACTTTGTAAGTGTGAAAAATTGTTGTCACTTTTTTTAGTGCTATTGTAACCTGAAATGGCCACTAAATGAACTATTGTAAGTTGAGGACTAGGTGTACGCCACTAGAGAGCCCAGAATGGAGGAAAAGGCAAATCTTATTGTTTTGTGTGCTAGTACAGGTAGTCCTCAGCTTACAGCCATAACTGAGGTCAAAACTTTTGGTGCTAAGTGAGAAATTTGTTAAATGAGTTTCGCCCTTTTACAACTTTTCTTGATGCAGAAGTGAATAACTGCAGTTGTTAAATTAGTAACAAGGTTGCTAAGTGAATTTGGGTTCCCCATTGACTTTGCTTGTCACAAGGCTTCAAAAGCTGATCACATGACTCTGGGACACTGCAACCGTCATAAATGTGAGACAGTTGCCAAGCATCCAAAGGTAAGTCTTGACCATGGGGATGCTGCAATGGTGTTAAGTGTGAAAAATGGTTATAAAAGTCACTTTTTTCAGTGCCGTTGTAACTTTGAATGGTCACTAAGCGAACTCTTGTAAGCCAACAACTCCCTGTACTACTAGGAACCTTCTACTTGGAAACACCTGTGATTAGAGGCTGTGATTGAGCAGATGTGTAATTTTTCGAATTGGTAGACCCAGAAAGTCTCAGTCCTGAGGGACCTTAATCCCCACCAGCAATGGGTTCGTTTCCAACCGTCCACAGGATTACAACATCCGTTCTGACGTCTTTAAATGGTAAGAATAGAAAAAGTACCGTTTTTTAAAATCGCCCTTTTGATTTTAACCGGCGTGTATTATTTAAGTGCTGGTGGATATTCATGTTTATGGTTAACGTGAAGACAAGTCAGCAAAATATTCATTGATCAAGGACAAGGTACCCTTAAAGAGTCTTCGGAAGTAGCGCAGCAAAGTCGGAAAGAGGAAAAAGAAAGCTCAATCTTGTACGTTTCTTTGCGCGCGTGCGCACTCGCTCGCTTGTGTGTCTATGGTTTTTGTCCTGAGGTCTCCTTCCTCCGATGGGTGGCGCGAGGCTTGGGAGGTCCTTGCTATCCCAGGGTGCTGTTCGCGGCGTGTACTTTGCCGTTCCGCTTGGAGAGAAAGAGAGAGAGAGAGAGAGAGAGACAGTCTGCGCGAAAAGTTCGCCAACGAGTCGCTGCGGGCTGCCGCCAAAACGGACATGTTAGCGCCGAGGCCTTGAAGGCGGGACGTTGCTGAAAACGACGTTCGGCGATCACCTTTCAGCTCCTCGCGCGCGGTAGCATAGGCCGCCGACCGACAAACATGGAGGCAGTGAACGCCTTCAACCAGGAGGTGAGAATGGAGTCCGGCGGTCGAGCGCGAGGCAGCCAGGCCCGGCAGGGCTCGGCCTCTTGGATGGGAGAGGTGGTTGTTGGCACGGCCCCTAACTGGAACTATGAGGAAGTGTTAGTGGTTGGGACGGGCTTGAGTGGAAGAATTATCGGGGCTTTGAGGGTTTTTGTTTTTGTTTCCTCCTAAGCTGAGGTCTCTTCTGGGCCCGGCGTGTGTGAGGCCAAGCTGCATCGGGTGACACGAGGCCTATCTCTGAGGGCTCCCCCTTGCTTATGAAGCTCATTACCTCTGCCCTATGAAGCCCTCAGAGAAACAGCCTAGTTTGCCGTGGTCCAAATTGTGGAGGAAACTTTGCAGAGCTGCTTAAGGCCAGCTGTGTAGCCAGACAGGGGCAGAGACCGAAAGAAAGGGAGTACAAGTTCGTCGCTGGACGCCTATCTGCGTGCTAGGTTACACTCCTCCTGTCGGTGGAGTGGGCATTCCCATTGTGTGTGTGTGCGCCAGTTTGAGGAGAGAGATGGGGTGGAGCGAAGGGGAAGTGTTTGCCCTTTTTCCTTTACAGATGTAATGAAGAGCTCAGCGTGAAACCAGGAAAAAAAATCGTTTACGGTCTAGTATTTGATCTTTCAAAACGTTGGTTAAATGCTTGAACCCAGTCTCAAGTCTCACCCACTTGTATATTACAGAAATGGGAGATGAATAACACAAACAGTAGTGCTCAAATTGGTGGGGAGATTGAGGGAAGATGAAGTAGATACTCTGGAGCATTATTTTAACAGTAAGGTTTGAATATAAAGAGGCAGTTGCACTGAATACAGGTAATCCTCAACTTACAACCACAACTGAGCCCCAAATTTATGTTACTGAGTTTTGCCTCATTTTATGATTTTTCTTGCCACATTTGTTAAGCAAATCATTGCAGTTATTAAGCTTATAACACAGTTGTTAAGTGAATCTGGCTTCCCTATCGACTTTGCTTGTTAGAAGGTCACAAAATGCGATCCCATGACCCTGGGATAATGCAACTGTCATAAATATGAGCCCAAACATTTCAATTTTGATCATGTGACCATGGGGATGCTGCAGTGGTCATAAGTGAAAAATGGTTATAAATAACTTTTTTCAGTGCTGCTGTAACTTCAAATGGCCACTAAAGAAACTGTTGTAAGTCGAGGACTATCTGTATTAAGCAAATAATTTATAGACAGTACTATAGAATTTCAAGCAGTATCATACATTTATTTGAAACTTTGCATGAATTTTTCCAGCAATTCACAAATTTACGTTCATAAAAGTACTCCTAAAACTGTATGAGCTACAGGGGTGGTGTATGGCTTTTGTTTAGCTACATACCTGAATATGGGTTTTCTTTAACAGAAGGTACAATGGAAGTTTCATGGTTTAACTCAAGGGTCTTCAAACTAGGCAAGTTTAAGAGTTGTGGACTTCAACTCCCAGAATTTCTGAGCTAACGTGACTGGAGGAGGAATTCTGGGAATTAAAGTCCACAAGTCTTAAAGCTGTCAAGTTTGAAGACCCCTGGTTTAATTCATTGAACAGAAAACTCTGCAAAATTAATTCACAGCAATTACTGTAAACTGAGCTAATGGATCACTATAGGTAGTCCCAGACTTACTATCATAATTGAGTTCAGAATTTCTGTTATTAAACAAGATGGTTAAGTGAATAACACCCAATTTTATGACCTTTTCTGCCACAATTGTTAAATGAATCATTGTAGCTGTTAAGTGAATCTTGTGGCTTAAGCAAATCCAGCTTTTCTCATTGACTGTGCTTGTTGGAAAAAAACTGTAAAAATATGACCATTGTAAATGCATTCTGATTTCCAAGTGCCCAAATTTTGATCACTGAACTGCGCATGCTGCAACGGTTATAAGCGCAAGGACCAGTTGTAAGTCACTTTTTTGTAATTTTGAATGGTCACTAAATGACTACCTGTATATCCCTCCTGGTTAAACATAGATATAAGTAATTTGTAGTTACATATGACAAAACTGCATTTAAAGCACAATTTCTTACAAAAGTGGTGGACTCTTTGGTTTTTGGATCCATAAAGAATTAATATTTAAATTAGGTGAATAACAGAGATCTATATACAATTGTCTGGAGTTCAAATGCTTCTCATATGCTTAGTTACTACAATTGAATGGTAGATTCAGAATGCTGCACTTTTCTTGGGGTCAGATAAAAATGCTATAAAGCAGTCTTTCCCAACCGTGGCAGCTTTAGGACTCTGACTGGGAAATTGTGGAGTTGAAGTCCATACATCTTAAAAACTTCCAAGGTTGAGATGATAAAGTGCTGCTTTACTTTGATTCAATAAATGTTATTCAGCTGTATTAATTTTTTTCCTTAGGATTGCCTTCCCTGATGTATTGCCTTGCAAATGTATTAATCTATAGCACCTAGCAGCTAGCTGGGCATGATCAGTGTGTGATTTTTGTCTGTTTTGAGTCTGAAGCACTTATGCAACCGTGATGGTGAATCTATGGCACGTGTGCCGGCACTTGAGCCATCACCCAGACAGATCCACTGCGCATGTGCGTACGCCTCCCGACAGCCAGCTGATTGTCGGGTATCTGCTGAGCAGGGAGGGGGGGCACAGAAGATGCGTGCACATGCGCAGAGGCACATGGTGCACATGGGGAGTCACGCGTGCATGCACAGAGGTGCGCAGTGCACACGGTCATGTGCGCAGGGGCGGGGGTCCACGCGCGTATTGCATTATGGATGCAGGTGCGTGTGCGTGCATGGACTTTCGGCATGCGGCTATGAAAAGGTTAGCCATCACTGGCTTAGCATATTAAAAGAGAATCAATGTGTAAGATCTGGTGAGGGATATAACTCTCTAGGAGCTGTAGTCCAATATATGATGTGAATGAAGTGACATCAGATTAAAGAAGATTGCTAGGCACTATACTAGTTAATTATTGAAAGGGGTATTGTCATTTCAAAATGCACACCATTGACTATTGCATACAGTAGTTGCTTACCTTAGAAATAACATTTAATTTCAATAAGATTTCTAGCAAGAAAATGGAAAGTTGCCTAATGATCCATAATGAATGTGATTTTGCAGTGTGCCTTAGATAGAGTTAGGTCTGAGACATGATGAAATAGTAATATTATTCAGCATTATTTCTGTATATAGCAGTTGAATATGTGTATCCTAATTATAGCAGAAGAAGCTGTACTGCTCCCACTCCCATACTAGTTCAATAGCTGAAAATTAAAGTACATCTGTGTGTGCTTTGAGATTTCCCTTTTCTCTCAATGGAGGAACAGCCTGACCCTAGAGTTGTGGGTCCTTCAGTACTATACATTTTCATTGGGAAGAGGATTCTTGTGCTGGGCAGGGATTTGGACTAGGAGACTTCCAAGGTTTTGCTGTTCCTCTTATTCTATTTCTTTCCTGCACATTGCTAGAGATACAGAATAAGAAATACATATTCTCCATGTCCCTACTGTTACAAGGCAGTTCAAAGTGACACATGCCCCTGGTTTTTAATTGGGTAAAGTCCCAAGCTTCTTAATTCTTAAATGTTTATTGGTATATAGTAAATATAAATTTTATTATTTACAGAAGGGTAATTCTGTTCCTTCCAGCTTTTTCAATAACAGTACAAAGAGTAATTAAATAATTTTAATTAATTTTTTAAAAATGGTAACATTTTTCTTAAAGTCATTGTGTTAAAATTATTTTTAAGAATGTTAGCCTTGTGATTAATTTTAAAAGGGAATGAATGTTGGTCTCAGATACATTGAGTTAAAGATCTATTATATCTGCCCAAGGTCGCTTATCAGTAAGCTGAATGGCATAAAAAATGAATAACTGAATAAAATATTTAATTGAATATTTTCTTCTAGGTTTACTACTTAAAACATTTTAAGAGAAATAGCTTTCCAACTATGTTTTATATATAAATTAAATATAAATATTTAAATTGTAGCACTAATTAATGAACAAAGTCAAAGTAGTCACTGTAATAAAATCATTTAAAAGTATCACAGTAATTTGAAGTCAAAACATCCCAAACTTGAAATACTCCATTTCAAGAATATTACTCTAGTTTAAAACAGTTTTTCCAACTTCAGAACATGTTGGACAGCTATTGTGGAAGTATTTTGAACTGAAAACACATTCACTCAAAATAGAAGTCTTGAGACTTTCTTACAATGGATGGTGTGGTATGATGAACGTTAGGTAAGATGTACCATTAGTGTGAGAACTTTATTGAAGGAGACTTCCATCTTGTTTTGACAATTAAAGAGCCTTCAAAGAAAGGTCATAGAAGAAGCACTCTGATCCATATATTAAAATATGGATAAATTGATATAAATTAAGAGACTACTTCAAGTAATTAATTCACAAGGATTTACAGTATATCTTCCAACTTACAGTATACATTTTAGTTTCAGTATAAAATGGTTATGTTTCCTTCTGCCTCTAGTCAGAATTAGTATTAGTCAGTATTTTATTTTTACTTTCTGTTCTGAGATCTGATCTGAACTAAAAATAAAAGAAACATGGAAAAGAAAAAAAAGACCCACCATTTTGTCTTAATTTGTAAATTCTTATGGTCCTCACAAGATGTATTAGCTTTTTCTTTCTAGGTTAAAAAAACATAAATATAGCACAGTGTAGTGCAGTGAAAAAGTTGCAAGGCTTGATTGCAAGGATATAGAGGAAGGAAATCCCAAATACTTTCTATCATTTGAATTATTTTGAGGGGACAGCACATTTACATTGTTATACAAGCTGTATACTCTCTACATTATAGCCAAGTATCATTTCAGTGTTGTCACATGAAAAGATATACTTAAATATTTATAAAATGTGAGAGGATGTACTCACTTCTGTGATATACTGTATGTGTTACCAGTTTCCTCGCTCAGTACAAGCTTATGTGGGAAAGAAAATATTTTAATATTAAATGTTAAAATCTAAAGTAAAATTAGACAATGAAGCAAATATAAAA